ATTAGGCAGGATTTAATGGTTGAGCTTTGCTAAATTTTGATCCACGTCAGCTTTTTTGTCCTCTCAGCGTTTCACTCTCTTGATTTTGTTATTTTATATTTTCTTTCTCCGTAGTTTTAATTGATATTGGGAAGAAGCTGTCTTCCAAATCCCACCGAATTTCTCCATTCCATTGGTTGAGCTTATTTATTATTTTCTCAAGAAAAACTAAACTCATTTTTACCAAAGAATATAATTATTAATAAACAAACAACAGTACAATTGAATTAAATATATCAATCTAATATAATTTTTTTTCCCGAGCTAATAGCATTTTATAACCATCTACTATTGCGAATTAACAAATATACCTTTCTACTATCTATTTCTCATCCAAACGAACCCTAAATCAATATATAATTAACAATACCCCATCAACACATAGAGTTCACAAACATCAATTTACAACAACCTAGATTAGGGTTCACATCATCCAAGTGAATAGAGAAAATACTCCATAGCTAGAGAAAGAATAACAACTAGAAAAGAGGAAAAAACTCATGGAAACTTGATTCTTCTTCTTCCTAGTTGCTTGGATGGATGTTTGGAGATGGAATCTGGCCTCCAAATGGTTTGGGTATGTCAAATAGGCTTGTCAATTGGACCCGAATTCCGGGTGCCCGACCGAACCCGACCCGGTTTGTGGCGGTTAAAACCCGGTCAAACGAATAGTTGACGGTTTGCGGGGAATCCGTTACCCGCTACAGCCGGTTGTCGGGCGGTGGTGGTTTTCTGACTATCCGCCCCGAGAGAACCCGAAACCCGCTTCCCCTCAAATCATCCACCCCGCCCCAGTCCCCATCTCATTTCGCGAAAACATCTCATCCCCTTACAAACCCTAGCGCCGCTCTATAAAATCGAATCTCCAACCCTGTCCCTTTTTCTTCTCCTCAATCAAGCAATATGCTCTTCGATAACGGCACAAAATCATTACATTCATTATTTTTAAGATTAGATACCCAATCAATCAGAGCAAACCCTTCGATTTTTTTGAATTGAGCCATTCCCGATGGCGATTACAGCGCTATTTTCCCTTTATCGACTCTTCGAGTTCGATACCATTTTCTTTTTCCCCTTCATGCATGCGCCTATAAATACCTTACTTGAGTTTTTTGCTGCAGATTGCCAGATTTTGAGAAAGCATACCACTCTAGAGAGAAGTAGTAAGCTAGCAGCTGTTTGCAATTGCGATTTCCAGTCACTGGCTCACTGCAACTGCAAGGTGAAGGAGCACAACCGTAAGTATTCTTCTTAGCCTTTCGTTTGGGGTTTGCAAGATTTTTTTTAACAACTTGTCTCTTGTGACTTGTCTAATACCTCGGGACTTTGTTGATTGATGTTAGGGTTTCTGGTAGCGGGGTTGTCATTGATCGGTAACGAAGCTTAGAAAGGTAATACTACTTGATTCTCCTAGTTCTTTCAGGTTTCAAGGAATTTACCAGCGACTGATTGGTTTCATTGGTTTGTTTTCTCGGGTGATTGCAGGTAATTAATGGAAGGAGTTGAATTCTCTCCCTCCCCCAACTCTCAATCCCCACTCCCACCCCCCAATCATCAGCCCCTGCCTGAACCACAACAGCATCAACCAATGATTGTTGTTGATGCACCACCAGCTGTGAATGGCAATGCTGATACTAGTGCTGGTGGTGGTGGTGAGTCAGAGCCCTCTCCCTGCCTTTTGGGGCCAAACGTCCACTGAAAAGTGATGTTTGGCCTCACTTTACAAGGTTTGTGGATAAAGATGGTGTAATGAAAGTACGATGCAAGTACTGTTGAAAGGTTCTTGGTGGTGACGCCAACAATGGTACCTCTCATTTGAGGAACCATAAAAAGGTGTGTGTTCAGAAACAAATTCACGATGGTAATCAGAAAAACATTGCCACTAATTTCCTCCCTAATGGTTTGATTGGGAAGAAAGAACTGTGTACTGGTCAGTTCAATGCAGAGGTTTCAAGGAGGGAACTTGCCACTATGGTTTTGATGCACGAGTATCCACTTGGTATGGTGGATCACTTGTGTTTCAAAAAAAATTTCAATTCTCTGCAGCCCTTGTTCAAAGTTCCCTGTAGAAACACTTGCAAGAGTGATATTCTTGCCTTGTATGCGATTGAGAGGAAAAAGATTCAAAAAATTATTGATGACACAACTGACATGTGGACACAACGGACATGTGGACAACAAGTAATCAGAAGAGGGCTTACATGCTGTAACCTCTCATTATGTTGACAATAATTGGAACCTTAGGAGCCACTTGTTAAGGTAAATTGCTTATTCAATTTGTTCTTTCTTTGATGTTTATTTGTTTAACACTTAACAGAAACTAACTTCGAGCTTCATTTGATGTTTGTGTGAGTGTATGACAGGTTTCTCTATGTTCCTGCCCCCATACTAGTGAGAAAGTTGCAAGTGTGCTTCGAGAGGCCATAATGTCCTGGAATGTGGACTGTAAGTTATCCACTATAACTCTTGACAACTGTTCTACAAATGATCGCATACAAGGAAGTGTTCACTCGTTTGAATCAGAGAGAACCTAACTATACTTCCTTACTAGCAGTGATGATTGGATGTTTGCTACTGTTATTAGAAAAAAGCTTGAGGTTTTCAGAAATATTTCTGAGCTTCTTTCTGGAAGCAATTATCCTACTGCTAATATATTCTTTCGAAGGATCTGTGACTTGAAATTGAATCTGCTTAAGTGGATGACTGATCCTGATAGCATCATTTGTGAAATGGCTGAAAAAATGTGGGCCAAGTTTAGCAAATACTGGACTGATATCCATGTATTTCTCACTATCGCTGTTGTTCTTGATCCTTCATACAAACTTGAGCTGATTCAGTACTATTATGATAAGAGCAATGGCTCTGATCCTACTCTTGATCCTGTGACTGTTAAGGCCATTTTTTATGATGTTATCCGTGAGTATTAGTTGAAACAAAAGGGCAGAATGACCATTCTGCCTCCTCTGGTTCTGTTAATGCCTTAATGGTGTTAAGGCTTATTCTGGTGACCTTGACTTCGAGCTTTATTTAAGCCGAAGGAAAAGGTCCAAACAGTTTCACTATGCTCTGAATTGGATCATTATCTCTGTGAGGATGTTAGTACTCGAAGTTCAAATGTTTGGGTTTTGGATCGGTGGAGGCTGAATGCTGGAAAATACCCACTTTTGCAAGAGGTAGCAAGAGATTTGCTTGCTGTACCAGTGACCTCTGTGGCCTCTGAGTCAGCCTTCAGCTCTGGTGGTAGGCTGCTAGATCCTCACCGAAGTAGGCTACACTTTGAAACTGTCGAGGCACTCATGTGCACCCGTAGCTGGATTCAGAGTGACATTTGCAAAGGTAAGAGCTCTTATTTTTGTTATTTCCCGATCTGTTTTAATTTCAAATATTCGAAAGTTTTGTTAACTCTACTCTGCTTGAATATGCAGACGCTGGAAAGGCTGACATTCAAGGTTTGGAGACTTGCTTCTCTGCGATGACAATGGAGGATCCAAGTTGTGAAGAGTTTAAGAAAGAAGGTACTTGTGCTCTATTTTATTATTATTAACAATTATCTTCAGTTAGTAGTTAAGTTAGTAGTTAACACTTAACAAGTACCTTAAATTGCCACAGATTTTCAAGGTAGCCAGAGTCGTACACTCTTGGACATTGAAGATTGAAGTGTGCTGCTGGTGATTGTTGTGTTGGGCTGCTGGATTTTGTTTGCTGACTGATTGCTTGATGATGGTGCTGCTCAATAAGACTGAAGGGTGAAGAAAACTACTGATGCTCTTTTTTGTTGTTTGGTTCAATTTGAAACTTGTTTTTTTTTCCGTTTGGTTTATGGCTATATGCCTTTATGGATGTTGGAATCCAATTTTGAACATGTTTTCTTTTGTTTGTAGGATGAATTATTGATGTCTGGTTGTTGGATTTCATATGCAATTTATGCAGTTTTTCAGTTTCAATTTGACTGTAGTGTCTCTGCTTTTTTGTTGGATCAGCAGATTTGGTTGTGTCGGGTAAACCCGCTATAACGGGTTCTAACCCGCTACCCGTTGGTTTCGGGGGTGGGCCTAAAAAAAATCCCGCTAGTGCTAACGGGGCGGATTCGGGGAAAACCCGATATACTTTCGAGCGGGTGACGGATGGGCCTGCCCCGGCCCCGATCCGCCCCGTTGCCAAGCCTAATGTCAAATCCACCTTCAACTCTCCCTTGTTTGTAGCTCTCTCTAGGTTGTGGAAGAAGAACTCCAAACTCTCTCTTGAAATTCTCATCACTCTTCTCCATATAGTCTGCGAAAGCACGTTTCACGGTTGCACATCACGCCGTGAAGTGAGCAATGAAACTGTGATCTCAGTGCAAAGCGCGTCGTTTCATTAACACATTTCATGGTTTCTCTGTTGGTTTCACGGTCTGGGGCCATGATAATTGCAATGCTCGCAAGGCGTGAACGAGTTTCCTGGAACTTTGCAATCTTCAGGGTCTCATGCCCGTGATATGTGTAGCCAAACCATGATCCTTGCACTTTCCTTCGTTTTGCTCCCTTTTTTATCTCTTTTGTCCAACTTTCGATTCTTTTGCCAATTCTACACGCTAAAGTCTGAAACATGACAAAGTAAGATCAAATCTAATATAAAATGGCTCCAAAGACGATGCTAAACAAGTCAAACAACACAAAGCAAGAGATATAAAAGTGTACAATCTATCCCAAATCAGTAAACCTAGTGACCAAACTTACAATTTACCCGATTAATGAGAATATATAAATTTATTTTAAAAAAATCCCATAATTTATTGATCACTGAATTATTTTAACATCTAATGGCTGAAAATCAAGTTAATTTTAACTTATTATAGTGCTTCTCTTAATTTTTATTATTATTATTATAGTGCTAACCATATAACTGGCTAGCAACTAATCCCATTCCACCTATTCGTTTCCCATAAACTATACAAAAGCGCACGTAAATTACCGTGGCATACTTCTTTTTCTCTCCCTATCTAAAATCTACTGTTTACCGCCGGCGAGGCGCCACCGGGGCCTTCTTGTTTGCGTCAAAATCTGCGCACTCGACAATGGCCGCTTCTCTTACGCGATCCTTAATTTCCCCCCTCACGAGCCGAACCACTGCTAAACCCTCGCGCTCCGATCAAGCGCCGCAGATTCTACTTTGCGCAAGACGGCGCTCCTGCGTGTCGGTACGAGCCTCCACATTCGGTAACAACAATTCATCTGATGGAGCCGCTGTTTCCTCTGCATGCAATGTGCTAACCCAGGATTCGCTTCCGAGTACGGATTTTCTTACTTCAGATTTGGGTTTGATTTTCTCTTTTGTGTGGTATTCGTTGGAGGAATTCAATTCAATTGTTGTTCTACTGCCCGTTTTCAACAGGGCGTTTGACGTCGGCGCCAGTGCCTAATTCAGGGTCCGGTGGTTCTCCCCTCCGCGTTGCTTATCAGGTTTGCTGTCGCTTTCTGCATTTCGATAAGTGTTTCTGATATAAAAAAAAGGGTTTTTCGCTACTTGATTTCCTGTTTTTACTGAAATGTAAATTTGAATGCAGGGGCTCTGTGGGGCACATAGCGAATCTGCTGCCCAGAAGGCATATCCCAACTGTGAGCCTGTACCTTGCGATCAATTCGAAACTGCATTTGAAGTAAATTTCTCTTCTTTATGATGTTTCTTTTACTGGAATGTCCGATTTTTCTTTGATTGTTCTATGTGACGGAGAAACTTGGAACTTATCATGATTTGAATTAATACCGAGGACCTCAAATTAGGCTCTTCTTGCTCACTGTTAGGCAAAGCAACACTTTTATTTGCTATGGTTGGGAGTGGAAATTATTTGCTATGGTTGGGAGTTGGAATTCTTCTTTTTTCAGTGATGCGCCAATTTTAAGTGGCTTTCAGTTGTGTTCTACAGTGAAGTGTGGTTGAACCATTAGTTTGAAATCGCTTCACAGATTTTGTGATTTATTGATGGAACTCCATGACATCAGAGTCTTAATTTGTACATATGTGTTTTTCTCTGTGGATGTGATTGTGCACGGCCTTTTGACATTAACCTTTACAGGCTGTTGAAGGCTGCTCTGTGGACAGAGCTGTGTTACCCATCGAAAACTCTTTGGGTGGGAGTATCCACAGAAATTACGACCTCTTACTTCGACACAGGCTACATATAGTTGGAGAAATAAAATATGCTGTTCGTCATTGCTTGCTAGCAAATCAAGGTGTTAAAGTTGAACACTTGAAGAGGGTTCTAAGTCATCCCCAGGTATGTTACTGAATATATTGTTCATGGATTCCTTCTCAAGATATTCAACTCAACCAACTGGAGGATTTACTGGAACTTATTTCAGGCACTTGCTCAATGTGAACATACGTTAACCAGGTTGGGATTGGTTAGAGAAGCAGTGGATGATACTGCTGGTGCAGCAAAGGTAAGATGGGATTTTACGTGTGTCAGGTTTTGGTTGGTCTGCACCATCCTTGCATTTATATTTAGGATTGTATCGTTGGAAGCACATTGAGTGGCTAATCTAATCCCGGATTCATTTTCCTCTCCGGGTTTGCTGGGATTGAACTCCCTGATTTCAGCATGTTGCACTCAAGAAATTGGAGGACACAGGAGCTGTTGCTAGTTCCGCTGCAGCTGAAATCTATGGCCTAGATATATTAGCAGAAGACATTCAGGTTTCAGCATTGTTTGTATTAATTCCTGATGATGTTTTATGTTGATGCTAGAACGGTAGTTCGTAACTGTGATCCTATTCTATTAGGATGCCTCTCTCAACGTTACAAGATTTCTGATGTTGGCGAGGGAGCCCATAATTGCAGGCACTGATCGTCCCTTCAAGGTTAACATGACAGTAATTGTATTGCTAATCACTGTTGCCTGACTAACTTAACAGGTAGGGATCATGATAAGATTGTTTCTTTGGGTTTCAGACAAGCATAGTCTTTTCACTTGAGGAGGGCCCTGGAATACTTCACAAGGCTCTTGCAGTTTTTGCAGAGAGGCAAATCAACCTAACGAAAGTAATTTTCTTTTTTGCCCCTCATTCCCAGCCAAAAAAATTCTTATGCTATTTGCATGTTCATGATTTTGGTGCCTTTGTTCTTTATTTTGAACAAGATTGAGAGCCGCCCTATGAGTTGGAGTTCTCAGAGATTTCCTGGACTGGATGCCATTGGACTTCAGAAGTAAGTTGTTGACAAATAGCTGGTTCTTCGTTTATATCCCCTCAATTTAACTCCTTTATCTTGTTCATGCAGTAAGCTAAGACAGTAGTAGTATGGTTTTCTGCAGATGCTTCCACTATCTGTTCTATGCCGATTTTGAGGCTTCAATGGCTAATGATGATGCTAAAATGTCCCTACAAGATCTGGAAGTGAGTCTTGTTTTTCCTTCACAAGCTTTTCTGTTGCACAATGATTTTTCTTCCTCATTGCATGTTGGACTTGCCATGAAACGTGTTTATAATATTCTTTGTTTGCAGAAGCTTGCAACATCCTTGCGAATTTTAGGGAGTTATCCAGCTGATACCACCATGCTATGACGAAACTCTTGGAATGCAGTAAGCATTTACCTGATTGATTGCTTTGCATATGCTTCATTTCTTCCGTTCTTAAGACGGTACTGGGTAGTCCATTCCCACCACCTTAAACCTTCTCTGGTTCTGGTTGCCAATGCAGGTGATGACCGGCCATGAGGAGAAACATGGGGTGTTTCGAGCGGCGACCAATCCTCCTTACTTCTGATTTTGCCAATGTTTTGCAGCAGTTTTTGCAGAGATGAGCTGATGCACTAGTGTGATGGATCACCCGATGACGGCCACCACCATGCTTCGTTCGTGGCTAGAGGGCTGGCCCAAAAAGCCCATCAACGTATGAGTACTGCTGCTGTCCTAAGATAGCTTTGATAATTGTTTTTGGTAGGATCACTGTCACCCTAAGTGATCTGTTCTTGGTTGATTCTTAGGTGAAAAGATCACCTAAAGTGACTCCTGCATAGCTGTTATTGGCGAACACCATTAAGCAATTCTTGGATTGGCCTTTGAGAATAGAGATCATCTTAGATCTTAGGAGACCGGATAGTATCTTCAATGCAATCCGATCCCGGTCATTAGATTTTCTAGAGCAGATGACTATTAAGTATTAAGCAAAATCGTGTTACAAACTGGTCGCTAGAAAAGAACATCTGATCCAAAAGTTCCAACATAGTAGCAAACTGTAACTCTGTGTTCTTGCATAAACAGGTTGAAAAACTTAACATCGAGCACAATCTCGATATAAAAAAAGGTATTATTTTGTTTCTGGGGGGAAAATATCATAAACAGACAAAAGAAAACATATCTCAAATAATGCTACAAAATGGTGGTAGCTAGTCGCACTCATGGCATTCTGTCCACCAAGCACTGCATCCACCTTATCTTGTAAAAAGGACAACCCAAAAACTTACTTCCTTCTCATTCTCACGAACCAACAAATCCACACCACCATCTTTAAGAAATGTTACTGATCAAACCAATTGGCTCGCCAAAGGGAAAATGGGTAGTAGCGCCAGCAGCAGCGGAAGGTCTCTTCCCAGCCCTCAAACACCTGCAGGTGACGGCGATCCAAAGACAGCCCTCAACAATCCCAAGTCCAACTACTGCGGTGAGTATGAATTCATTACACAAATTGACGGAGAAGGCCTATGGTCCTTGTACTACTACTGCCGCCGCCGCCGCCGGCAGGAGGCAAGCGAGATGGGACAGCGTCGCCGATGAAGAGGAGAACAACGAAGACGAAGAGTACAATCAAGAAATCGCGGTGCTGGAATTCTACACCCAGCGTTGCAGAGGGGAAGCTCTGGTTGTCCATGCCTCTGTGGATGGCCAGCTTGTGGAAGTCCTCATCTTCAGAGTTAAGTGATGAGTCGATTATTAATTGGTTCCCTAATTTCAATTTGTAAGCAATTTAATTAATCAATTGCGTGCTGTTAATTATATATATTCAGGGATTCTCGTCGTGCTTGAACTACGGGACGGCGGCGGACCCGTCGAAGAGCGTGATTCCGGCGAGGGCCGTGATTAAGTGGGTAGACAGGATTAAGGGGCCATTTGATCCTTCCAACATTGAGTACTTGGAGAAAGAGATCAGTTGGGATTCATTCAAGGCACGTCTTGCTGCTTCTTCCCCTGTTCAATAGCTCTGTAATTTCATGTGGCCTAACTCGAAATTGTATACTCCCCCGTATATTACTGTTTTCGTCGCTTTCTTAATTAACATAATAAAACCATTACAGTAAATTAACCATGTGTGATTGCACAAAATGGTATAAATTTTTAGGCTTAATGATAAATTGATAATTAAAGGATGGGATGATTGATTATATACCGGTGTGGTTAATGCTTCCAATCTGATTAACTTGATTGTGCCTAACTCGGAGTGTAGATGGGCCGGATGACAAGCGAGGCCCAAAAAGAGTAGAGATTTTCAGCCCAAACTGGTAGCATCCTTTAAAGCCCGGGTATGCTTGATCGGGCCTGCAGGGAATGCTCATATTCGCTCATTAGCTGCCTACTGCGTAATAGTAGTTTGTCAACTCTCGATAGTCAACGGTAATGGCTGACGTAAGATGAGAAATAAAATAATTTGGATCAATATTTGTTACGCCAAAAATAAATTGTACGTACCATTTAGTTATGTGCTTGTTGAGGGGAGTAGTTGGGATGTGTATAATTAATTTCACCGAATGTCAACTAGCTAGTTTGGTGGGTTTAACGAGATAAGCTTGAGAAGACTCTTTTATTTCTAATCTCTGTGTGAGATGTTAAAAGGTTTAATAAATTATTTCTCAACAATTTGAGTTATCGAGTGGTTAGTTCGCAAATATTTTATGAGTTTTGTTTTGTAAAAGAATTTCTACTAGATTGAGAAAATTTGAAAATAATTCAGGGGTCTCGAAACTTGAAACCACACTTTAAAAAGCTTGCTAATTTTCTATAGATCTTATTGTTTCGACGAAAATTAACTTCCAAAAGTTAATCATCATTGGTTAGTATATTGTGTAGTCATTTGACCTTAAAACATAATGAAAAAGGTTCCAGAGAATTCAAAGGAGATTGATTCGAATGTCTGGCATCATCCCGACCTTCCTTGGATTTATTACCGGCAATTTGTTCAGGGTTCCAAACTCAATAATATGACAAATAAACACAAGGATTGCGCCCAATCAATCTAAAAATACAAAATACAATAGTTTGAATCATTGCATAGAATCAGTCGAAAACAAGTCCAATAATGCAATCCCACAGAGCTCCGATGGCGAAAACTGCAGGCCGCACTCCGGGCCGGCGGCAGAGAATGGTTGAAGGAGCATGATCAGTAGTCTTAATGACCGGCGACGCATTTTGTACCGGAGGCGGCAGGTTCTCGACGCGGAGGGCAAGCTTCATGCCACCAAAACAGAACCCTCTCCCGCTGACGAAGTAATAGTCTCGCGTCACGTTGAGTGGAACCACATCTCTTCCAGCTCCTCTGGTCCAGTTCTTGAGCGGGTGGTCGGCATTGCAGCTCTCGTAGTCCGTCTTGTTCACCTCCAGCACGTTCATCTGGTTCCTGTCGTACACGAAAACTGCGAAACACTCTCAATTGTGTGGACTCAACGTTCCAGTGGAAAGATTAGAAGTAGAAGAAGGAGAAGGAAGGAAGGAGGGACTAAATTACAGAGCCAATCGCCATTGTAGAAGTGGAGATCCTGAGCCCAGAGAGTGTAGTTGACTTGAGTAGTCCACCCCATTTTCCCCACGAGCCATCTCTTAGCAGACACTTCCTCCGGTACCACCGCCACCATGGCGAATAACACCGCCGCCAATGTCAGCAGCCTCTTCTCCATTCCTTTTTCGCCGCCAATGGACAGGGAACAAAATTCTGAAGAAAGGGAGACCGAGGCTAGAAATATGCAGGGACTCATTTTTAAAAGGAAGAAATGAGAGAGTCGTGGACTTTGTTTGTCCACTCTCATTTGATTTTGGGTTATAGGTATTGTTTGTACCATCTAGCTCCAGTATGAACAATGATATTTATTGGTGTGGGGTTGACTCATGATTCGTTCGTCTGATCTCGTTGGGAGGGAAGAAACCTGTGAAAGAACCGAGGATGCCCCCGGATTAAGCTCCGACGATCAAGTAAGTATATTATGTAGAATGAGTTGAGAGAATAGATAGAGAGATAAAGTGTAAAGAGATAGTGGAAAGTGGAAAGTGAGGGGAGAGGAGAACAGCCCATTGACTCAATGGAACGACGTAGCACAGGCTGATGGAACGACATAGCAGCCAGCGTCAACAATTGTGGGCCCAAGACAGAGAACCGGCCAATTAGAGGCCAATGAATAGTATCAATGTGAGTAGGTGAACAGCCCATTGAGTCTTGGGCTACAGAGATTGGGCATTAGTGCGATTAACTCTTTTTAATGTCTTTCATCATGAGTTGAAAATAGGACAATGTCAAGGTCACGTAGACTAACTATAAAGAAGGAATTAAGAAGACACGTTAGGAGGGAACCATGATCAAAACCTAATCACTGTTTAACCACGAGGATAGGAATTTATTTTTGTATTGGTTATGATGGAACAAACCATTGGAGTATCATATGGAAATTCAAAATAAGCATCATATTGTAAAAAAAATTGCATTTCTTAAGGCTGCCTTGATATGGCATTATTGAATTTGTTTGATTGGTGGAAGTCCCCCCCCCCCCCCCCCCCCCCCCCAATTCTTTCTTTGTTTAGCTATGCATGTTGTTTAACTAACAGAACACCAACTTCTCTTTTAAACAATCTTACTCCATTTGAGAAATTACATGGTTCTCCTCTTACTCTAGACCATTTAAGGGTCTCACCTATGCTGCAACTATCTAGGCTACACGAAACAAACTGGATCCTAGGTACCATCCGAGCACTACTACTATGCTATATAGTATTGGTGCTTTAATGTACAACTTGAAGTTGTACTAGGTTGTACCATAAAGGAATTTGTATCATTATGTTATGGTACAACTTTACAACTTGAAGTTGTACCATCACATCAATGTACAAGTTTAAGTTGTATCATAAAAGAATTTGTACAAAAAGTATAGGTACAATTTGAAGTTGTACCATAACATTAAAGGTACAATTTCAAACTGTACCATAAAGACAAAAACCTATAGCACCAATACTATATAGCATTGTAAAATTCCTCGGTCCCATCCTTGTGTTTTTTTGGTCACCCTCATGGTACCAAAGGGTTCAGGTTATACAATTTACACACACAACTAGGAATGGCAATGGGTCGGGTTGGGGCAGGTTTTGTCAAACCCAAACCCATGGGTTTATTCGCCCAAAAAACCCGGGTAAAACCCGCTGGTTTTGAAAAACTCAAACCCAACCCGTTGGGTATCCGCGGGTTCATGGGTACCCGTGGGTTTTTGTGACAAACAATTTCAATAACAAGTTTATTTCAAAATAAAAGTTTAACATCAATTTTCTCATACAAAAAACACTCATCTAAAGCATACAAGTAAACCGCAAATGATCAATACAAATTGTTCAAAATTAAAGCTAAACATCTATAAACCACAAGATTAATTGAAAGTTTCTTCCTCGTCAACTAAGTTTCTTCACTCTCCACTCCATAATATCAACTTCATTCTAAACAATTAGAAAGAACAAATTATACATGTCTCCACAAACATTAAGAATATTAGTTGTTTAAGGAAGATATATTATTTAGAATATTAAATATACCGGGAAAGTAATTATATGTATGTGGGCGGGTACCCATGGGGAGGGTTTACCTAAATCCAAACCCAACCCGGTGAATAGTGTAGCGGGTTTAAACCCGAACCCGACCCAAAACCCGTCAACATGGATTTTACCCGCGTTGACCGGGTTGGGTCGGCTGTGTACCCGTGGGTTCGGATTTTGTTGTCATCCCTACACACAACCTCCTCATATCCAGAGACTTTTCTTTTCATGAAACAATCTTTCCATTTAACACACTTAACCAGATAATTCCAACTTCTGTTATTCTACCAGTATTTCCAGCTGTCTCTTCAGACCTGGATTTTACCAAAGCTCACACAGCTTGTTCACATCCACTATCTACCTCATCAATACCAGTATCTATTGATCCATGTCCTGCAACAACTGATGTTCTTCCTTCTCCACCTACCCTCACTCAAACAACAATTCATGTTGTTCCTCAAACATTAAGGAGATCAACTAGACAGATTGTCCCACCAGCACGACTCAAAGATTACAAGTGTAATCTAGTTAGTCAATCTACTTTACTCACTTCAGTCAAATATCCTATGCATAATCAGTTAACTTACAGTTCTTTGAGTTCTTCTCACAAACATTTTGCCTTGGCAATCACTCAAATCAAAGAACCAAAAACTTACAAAGAAGCTGCCAAATCAAAAGAATGGCTAGATGCTGTAAATTGTGAGTTCTCATCTCTTGCCAAAACAAAAACCTGGATTCTAGTTGATCCCCCCCCCCCCCCCCCCCCCAATGTTCCTATCATAGGCAACAAATGGGTGTTCAAACTAAAATTTAAGCAGGATGACTCCATTGACAAGTACAAAGGCTACACTAAACACCTGGAATTGACTATCTGGACACATTTTCTCCAGTAGTTAAAATGACAACAATTCGCATCCTCTTAGCCTTAGCTTCCACATATACAACTGGCATCTTGAGCTGGATGTAACCATAGCTTTTCTTCATGGGGATCTCAATGAAGATGTGTATATGAAATTTTCTCCAGGATTACCAGTCTCACCTTCAGATAAAAATAAAGTCTGCAAACTTACCAAATCCTTATATGGACTTAAGCATGCTAGTCGACAGTGGTTTGCCAAACTTGCCACCACTTTAGAATCTCTAGGATACCAGAAATCACATTGTGATTATTCTCTGTTTACAAAGTATCCTGGAACATCATTTAGAGCTTTATTAGTTTATGTTGATGATATTATTTTGACAGGAAATGACATGACTGAAATAGAGCATGTTAAGAAGCAACTCGATGTTGCATTTACCATCAAAGATCTTGGAAAACTCACATACTTCCTTGGTATGGGAGTCTCAAGGTCTGAGAGTGGTTTACATTTGTGTCAACGCAAATACACTCTTGATCTCCTATATGATACAGGGTTTTTAGCTTCTAAACCTACCACTACTCCTTCCATTCCAACCACCCATCTTTCTGCATCTGATGGAACTTTACTAGATCCAGTCTGCTCATAACAATTAATAGGACGATTACAGTATGTCAGAACAGAAGCGTGGCAATCGATAATCCAGAACAACACGAACGAACACAAATTTAACGTGGTTTACTAACACAATATGTGCTAGCTAATCCACGGGCAGAGGAGAACAAATTTCACTGATTTGAGGAGAGTACAGGTTACAAACCAAATTCCAAACGGAAGCATCGTATTTGCACGTGTTTTCACTCTGGTTTCCTGTCCATTTCAGCTTGAATTGATTGTTCCTTGGCCTATTTTACGCTAGGTTGTGTTGTTTTGTCGTATTTCAGGTCCTAGCAAGTAAAGAGGTGCATAGGCGCAAGTTTCGGGTCATTTGGAGGTCAGATGGTGATTCACAGGACAAATTACGGGCAGCCCCTGCCAAATTACGACCGTAATTGGTCAGGGCATGCCCGTAAAACCAATGCCGAGCCACTTTTCCCAAGAATTATTCTCGGCACTAAAATTACGGGCAAGCATCCACCAAATTACGACCGTAATTAATGAAATACTGGCGGTAATTGTGAAATTACGGGCGTAGCTCCTCTTCCATCAGAGTGAAGTGAAACGCGCGTTTTGGGCGAATTACGGGCAGGCCGTGATTACGGCCGTAATTCTGCCCGTATTTCGCCCAGAGTCGGGTTTTTGAAGGCAGATTCGAGCCAAGGAAGAGGATTCGGATTTCTTGAGCAAAAAACAGAGCCCTAGAGAGAGAAAGTACGAAGAACACATCCTAGAAGCTATCTTGGAGCTGGGTTTCATCAAATCAAGTTTGGAGATCGTCATAGGAGTGGAAATCATCATCCCAGAGCAGATTCTTCCCATAAGTATGAGTATGACTGCTTTGTATCTTGTTTTCTTCTCTCTCTCTATGGAGTAGAACCTCTCTCTCACTTGGTAATGAAGAACCCCAGTTCTATGTGTTAGGGATTGATTGTAATGACTTGGGATGATATTACTGTTTGATTTTAATCGAATGATGCATGTTTATTGAGTCAATTGAAGTCTGATCAACTTTTCCTGATTCCTGCTGCAATCAGAGATAGATAGAATCTGATTAGGTTGCTAGAGTCTCATCATTCGGTAGTAGGAGATTGGCTATACGAGAGTTAGCCAGTTTACTGCTTTGTACTGGAATCCAATTCTAGTAGTGGAGTTCTGTTCTTACTGCTTCAGCTTTCTATCCCGGTGAAGACTAGTCGTCTGCCGGGTAGTTAGACTGAGAGGGCTTGGTCAGCTTAAGAGATTCCAAGCTACTGTCGGATCTTCCGCAGTCTAATCAAAAGTAAATCAACCCAGGGAAATACAATTGAAACCTAACTAAGGAGTTAGGGGGACTCATTCCCGAGTGACTCTTACCTGCTTGAGAAAACCGTATCAATTCCTACTTTCTTTCTGCTTTTGCTTTTACACAACAAACACTCAACTTAGTTGGCTAGATAATAGAGAATCACTGAGTAAGCAGTAGATCTAGACCCCGGGTTGATAATATAACTTGTCACTTTACTGCATTCCCGGACTGCGATTATACTTGGTCGCAGTTTGGTGTTGTGTTTTAGAGCATCAAGTTTTTGGCGCCGTTGCCGGGGACTTTCTAGATTATTAGGAAAGGCAGAAGTTTGTTACTTTAGCGTTTTTCTTTTCTTTTCCACCCTTGCTTTTCACTTGGGTGTTTTTTGTTTTTTTTTTTGTTTTTGTTGGTGCA